TAAAAACATGCCTCTATTAAAAAAAAAAAAAAAAGAGAATGCATGGTGTGGACTCAGAACCCTAAAGGCCAACTTCAATCCTGGCTCTGCCACACGTGTGCTGAGTGGCCTTGAGCAAGTCCTTGCCTCTGTTCCTCACCTGTCCAAGGAGGATACCTGCTCACGTGAACTCATTGGTCCCATGAGTTCACATGCTTAAAGAACTTAGAACATCGCCTTGCACATATGAGGTGCAGCCTAGAGGTTTGCTGTGGTCCCCCAAGCCATAAATGGAGCTTTATTTATGCTCCTCGGAGCAGAAAATGGGACTATCTTAGCCTGGCACTGAAGGCACAATCATACCCTGGCTTCCCTTTGCTGCTGCTCCCACAAAGCTTTACTCAAGTCAAGTCTCACTTCCTCCTCACCTGCCTTGGGGTCCGTGCCCATCACTGCCAGGCTGTCCATTAGCCTCACCACCTCTCCGGGCATTCTTCTCATTCAACACACCCTGGTCCCTTCACCCAACAGGAGCCAGACTGCCATTAGCAGTGACTCTCTCAGGTAGATAAGAAACTGAGGGTATGAAGAACATGTTAACAACTGTAAGCAAAGAAAACAACTCTGCCCCTTCACTGGCTTCTGCCAGTCTCCCCAGGATGCCACCTGCAGGCTCTGGAGCAAGTCACATGTCTCAGAGCCCCCGTCAGAAAGTAGAGGGGAGGAAGAGTCATTTCCTCATGTCCTTCATGGGTCTTGGCTCAGACGCCTATAATAAAAGGTTAACAAGAGACAAACAGGAGTCAATCAACATGTGTACCTTATAGACAGAGGAGAGACCCAGGGAGAAAGGAGTAACTCCCAGAGGTGGCTGTCGACTGCAGGTTGAAATACTGTGTTCACAGGGAAAGGCGAGGCTAAGTGGCTTTCAGGAACGATAAATGGGCCTTTAGAAGAACAGGTGGGAGGTGCAATGGCTTCTGACAAAGGCTGGGTGCGCTGTGGACTTATAGGCTCCTCTCCTGTGATGAGTCAGCCCTCCCGAGTTGATGAAAGTCCCCAGGAGAGGGTTTACGACAGTTGACTTCCTCTTAGAGGATCTATCTTAAGGTAGGAAAGGCTCTCCCTGCAATTAACTATTTTTCAAGTGCCTAAGTTCAAAATAATCAGTAAATCAAGGAACAGCTCAAAGGGTGAAGCCAAAGCGGCTGGGAAAATGTTGGTCTAAGGGTCTAAGAGGTGGGTCCTCTTACCTAGAGTAAGAGAAAGGTGGGCAAAGAGAATAGGAGAAGATCCCCAGGGCACAGCCTGAGAGGCCTGTACTGAGGCCCAAGACTGGGTTCAGGGAGTAAGAAGGCGCCAAGGGGCTCCCAGCTGGCAGTGTGTCCAGGACACGAAGTCCCAGCTGCTCTTCCTTAAACCACTCCTGGGGCGGTGTGTGCAATGTGAGGTGTGAGACAAGATCTCCCTGGGGCCATGGCACAGCTGGCTCGCTGCTGGCGATCGAGGGGCCCACTCGCCCAGCTTGGGGCTCCACTCTTGGCACTGACCCCCTTCATGCACAGACCCATAGGCGCCCACCATGTTGCCCTGTAGGATCTGGGGGGCAGGGGGACACAGATAAGCTGCTTGTCGTGCCAGGCATCATACGGGCCAGTCCTGCCAGCTTCTGTGCGGAATGAAGTTTCACTGCACAAGTTCAAAGGAGGGTAAAGTTGAACCTCACGCCTGCCAGGTGAGGTGGGAAGAGATGAGCACCCCACCTCTGTGCACCAGAAGTCACCCTGGGGGAGCCGGAGGTGATTAGAGCGGGGCCAGAAGTGTGAAGGGAGCATCCTACAAAGGCATCTTCCAAGCAGGAACCTGAACGGATAGTGAAGACAACCCTTGGAGGGCTTTTAAAATGTTGTTTATTTTTCAAATTCATTTATTTATTTACCACCATTTCATCAATGTCTTTTTAAAATTGTATTGTTTTTTATTGAGGTAACATGCGTCTATAAATTGCATATGATTTCAGGGTGTAGGTTCACACTTCTTCAGATGTATGTCACCACACCCACCACCAAGGCACCTACAGCCCTCACCAGTCCCTCCTGCCCCTCCCTTCGTTGTTCCCCTCCCCCCACCTCTCTAAGCTTCTATGCTGCAGTCAGACTCCTAACTTGTTTTGGTTTAGTTTTGTCTGTTCCTTTATTTAGTTGTTTTTTTTTTAATTCTCCACTTATGAATCATCTGGTATTTGTCATTCTCCTTCTGACTTATTTTGCTTAGTGTCACGCCTTCCAGTTCCATCTATGTTGTCACAAATGCAAGATTTCATCTCTTTTTTATAGCTGAGTAGTATTCCACTGTGTGTGTAACACATTCACTCATCTATTATCGGGCACTTAGGCTGCTTCTTAACTCTGCTATTGTAAATACTGCTGCCATGAACATAATTTGAAGATCTCCCTTCAAAAAAATTAGTGTTTTTGTATTCTTCAGGTAAATACCTAGGAGTGGAATTGCTTCATCATATGGTGGATCTATTTTGAATAATTTAAGGAAACTCTGTATTGTTTTCCGTAGGGGCTGGACCAGTCTACCCTCCTACCAAGGCCAAAGGTGCTGGGGGTTGGGAGGGTGGAGGTGGGGCAGGTTAAGAGAATACACCAGAGACAGAGTGGGGAACAGAACAGGCGGATCCACTGAAATACACTGCTGAGAGGAGCAGCGGGCAAAACAGGAAGAGGTCTGCCGCACCATGTGGGTCAGCTCCCACGTGGGGATCGAACTCTTGCTGCTGTGGCTTCTGATAGCTTCATAGTACTGAAACTTAACCCCTTATGCCACCAGGGAGGCCCCTCTGAATGCCTTCTTTATGGAAGTGTCTATTTAGTTCTTTTGCACTTAGGGTTTTAGAAAGAGCTCTCTGAGCTGTGTGGAGATTTCTTGACCTACTAAACATAGAGCTTCCATATGATCCAGCAATTCCACTCCTAGGTATTTACCCAAATGACACAGAAACAGTAATTCCAAAGGGCACCTGCACCCCTATGTTTATAGAGGCACTATTTACAAAGGCTAAGCTATGGAAGCAACCCAAATGCCCAAAAATAGGTGACTGGATCAAGAAGATGTGGTGTATATACACAATGGAATATTACTCAGCAATCAAAAAAGGTAAACACATGCAGTTTGCAGCAACATGAATGGAGCTAGAAGGGATCATGCTCAGAGAAATAAGCCAGAAAGAAAAAGAAAAATACCGGATGGTCTCACTCATAGCAGGAATTTAGAAAACCTAAATAAGGGATCAGGAAAAAGACTAATTAATACAAAGTAAAAATCAAAATCATCAAGCAACTATAAACCAGAGACACACTATGGGGGGGGGGGGGGGGAGGGAGGGACAAGGAAAGGAAGGACTAGAATCAAAATAAGGGGGGGGTGCAATTGTATGGGGAATATAACCAAAATGAAAATGCATACATTGTGCAAAGATGAAAAAAGATGTAAGAATTATATAAAATAAAATATTTAAATAAAAAAAATAGAAAGAGCTCTCTGGCTTCTGGGTGGAGAATGACCAACAGGGTAAATGGCCAGAGTTGCAAAGCACAGAGATAGTCATCGGAAGTTAAGCAGACCCAGCTGGAGGCAGAGCTGTGGGTATCTGATTAGGATGTGGCGAAGAAGAGATTGTCCAGGAAGAGCATCTGATGGAAAGAGAGGCGGAGTCCTGGTTAGATACCAGAGAGGAGCCCTCAGAGTAGCAAAGAGGAGTTGCTAGTATCAGAGAGAGGGGTAGGGAGTTCCTGAAGCCTCCTAGCCAAGGGCAGGGAAAGGGCCTGACACCAAGGCCAGGGCAAGACAAAAAGACCAGCATGTGAACGTCCTTGAACATCAGGAAATCATTAAGCCTGGGACAATGCCGTCTCACCCCTATAGCTCTGTCCTAGCTGGTGACCAGGACTGAGAAGGACCCAGGCGGGAGCACACAGTGTACCCCTGCCCTTAGGAGACCACAGCAACGAGAGCTGAGGAAGTGCTGGGGTGCAGACCACCAGGTGGGCAGGTAAGAGCCAAGAAAGGCCTGAAGGAGTCAGTGACCATTTAATAAGTGTGTGCAGAGGGCCCGCTGGTGCCAGAACCTGGCTAGGCTTGGGATAGGGAGGGGACAGAGTGTCATCTGCCTTGCAGCTATGTCAGGCAGGTAAGGAAGTGAGGGAGATCACCTTCCTGTCAGAGAACAAGTTGGCCAGGGCAGGAGCATGAACGGAAGAGTCAGGGCCCAGGCAGCTCCCCAGGTGATGGAGTGGAGGTAGCAGGAGAGGTAACAGGAAAAGGCCCTGGGTCACTTGGTGGTTGTGGCCTGTGTCCATCAGATGTGTAACATTCCTTGACAAAAGTACAGGGAGCCACTGAATACCTTGAAGGAGGGAGCGTGAAGAACAAAATAATTGTTAAGCATCTACCAGATGCCAAGCACTTAGTAGGTGAGTTGTGTACCTATGTATCTCAAACACAACATGATTATATTCTCCTAAGAATTTCATTAAAATGCAGAGTAGGCCTAGGGTGGGTCAGAAGTGCTGCCTTTCAATAAACCCCCACCGTCTGGGGCCTCACTTTGAGGAGAAATGCTGTAGCTGTAGCTCCTTTAATCTTTTCCTCAATGCTGTCCCGATCCCTTTTAGGGATCGGGAAACTGAGGCTCAGTAGGTTTTCGTGTTTGCCTGAACGCAGGCCATGAATGACTGGCACTGTTTCCTGTGATCTACTGTGGTGCGGTAAAACAACACAGCTCCCAAATTTGCACTCCTCCAGCTGCCTCTGGGTCTGTCCCCAGGCTCCTGTCTTCCAGTTTAGTAAATTCAGACCCTCCTGTCATCAGCTGGCCTCCAGTGTGGAACTTCTCAACATGTCTGCGGTAGTATCTAAAGATAGCCTGCTTCACAGGAAACTAGACACTATTGGCTAACGTTGCAAATAAAGATGCCCTCTGAAGGAGAGGAAAGGAAACACTGTCTCCAGAATCTGCGTGGCACAGGGTGGTAGACTGGCATGTCCAGAGGTCCCATCCCAGGTCCAGCTCAGGTAGGCACAGAGTACACTGCGTCTCCTATGGGGTGGAGGGTCCAGGCACAGTGGTCAGAGTGGCTAATGATGCTGGTTTGCTTTACATACCAAAGAGAGATCTTTTCCTTGAGGATGTCACAGCCTTAACCACAAAAAGGCTCGAGGAATTGGGATGGAGGGAGGTGATTAGATTGTTCATGGTACACTCGACATGATTAGAAGCATCAGGAATCATATTTTAGGGACATGGAGAAGAGCTCATGATTTGACATTAACTTAAAAAAAGCATCATAAAAAATTATATGGGCGAAAAAAATTATATGGGCGATACTAAGGAATTATTGTTAACTTTTTAAGGTGAAAATATTATTGAAATTACTATTAAAATCATTTTTCTTTTAGAGACTCACACTTAACTATTTGTGGGTGAAATGTTATGATGTCTGAATTTTTAAATAATCCAGTAGAGCGTGAGGTGGGGAATCAAATTATTGACTGTGCATTGCTAATTGTTGAAGCTGGGTGATGGATGCATACAGGTTCTGTCTGTTTTTATATATGTTGGCAAACTGTATCATAAAAAGCTTTACAAATAGCGTCTTCTGTTTCCAAAATTGAATTCCAAAAAAAATTCTAAATGTTTTACATTTTTTGGTTGTCTTTCTCAGTTAATAACGATAGCATTCTGGAGAGCTCAAGTAAAAACTTACTGGGGTGCAGTGCAATACATGCGTGACGTTTAAATGTGCATACATTAGAATTATCTTCAACTCAAAACTTTTGGAAATCGCATCAATATGGGAAAATGGGATAGATTGTTCTTTGTAAATTATATTTAATAAAGATCAGAGGGCCTCCCCTTGTGGTGCAGCGGTTGAGCCTGGGCTGAGAGGCTGCCTGCAGCCTCTGCAGCGCCAGTTCGTTCCCCGGCCACAGGCGAGGGTCCCACAAAAAAAAAAAAATAAATAAAGATCAGAATAGTAACTTGTGGAATTGTTTGTGCCCTTCTAGGAAAAAGAGAAAGTTAAATGGCATTCTGTATGTTAAATATAAATATACTTAATATGAATATAAAAATTGGAATCAGGGCCTCCCCGGTGGTGCTGCAGTTGGGCGCAGGGCTGAGAAGCTCCCCGCAGCCTCTGCAGCGCCGGTTCGATCCCCGGCTGCTCCCCGGCCACCGGAGGAGGGTCCCACATGGTGCGCAGACCTCTCCTGCCGCCCGCTGCTCCCCTCAGCAGTGTATAAATAAATAAAAATAAATCTTTAAAATAAATAAATAAATAAATAAGGAGATTGACTTTGAGTTGATAATCCTTGAAGTTGACGAGGTATATAAAATTCCAAGGACACTGCCTGGCCCAAATATGGTGCTTAAGAAGCAATGTAGATCATCCTTGGAAAGTGAGGCTGCCAGGGTGTGTACACTTAACTTTCAGATGAGGTTATGAGGGGCAGGAGAGGAAGGAGACGCCAGAATCTACCTAATTCAATACCAACTTCGTTTCCTTCCCGTCCCCCACCCCCAAGAGGCACCCGTTCTCACCCTGACCAGGCTGCAGAGGACAGCCATCTCAGAAAGGTCCTCCCAAACCAGAACCTTGGGGCCCCAGGGAACCCCCTTCCAGGATCTGGGTCATTTGGTGCACCCTCCTCCCCCAGCTCAACCTCTGACCTGGAACACAATTCTCAGCTACTCCTGTTTTAAACAGGTTTAAACTTTGCTCCTTGAAAATGTGCAGAAGGCCTCCCTGGTGGCGCAGGCACTGTGAAGCTGTCTGCAGCCTCTGCGGTGCAGATTCAATCACCGCCGGCCTCAGAGAAACCCATATGGTGAGGCAGACCTCTCCTGTCTTGCCTGCTGCTCCCCTCAGCAGTGTATTTCGTCAGCCTGCCTGTTCTGTTCCCCGCTCTGTCTCTGGTGAATCCTCTCACCCTCCCACACATCTGGCCTATACCCTGGCTCCTTTATAAATAAAATTAAAAAAATTTTAAAAATTAAAAAAGAAAAAGAAAAAGAAAATGTGCAGAAACAGCCCCTGCACTGGATGGACTTGACAGAGAGGCGAGTTGCTACTGTCCTGTATGGTCATAGTCAGGAGCCTGGAAGCCATGTCACACGGATCCAGCTTCTGACTTTTTTGAGGAAAGGTTCTGATTCCCAGCGACACGTCCGGAGTTCCGAGGGTATGTGCTTTCCATGTCACACTCTGCCGGGAGAGCCACAGCCAGGCTGAGGCTTCCAGGTGAATCCTGACCCTGCCTGACCTCACCTCCTGGGCCCCTCCCCAACCCCCCCTAGAAAGTGCTGGTGGCAAGCAGGCTGGAAATCCCCAGCTGAGGCCACCAGCTCAGACCACCCTGGGAGCCTCCACACCTCATCTTTTGGTCTGGCCAAAGTGCAACTACCTGAATCGTGAGTTTTACCAGGGAAGAAAACCTTTATTTAGCTCATATCTTTAAATATCTTCCTAAGCCTCTTTTCCCTAAGTCTGTGCTCATTGTAATTCTAGCATATTCCAAGAACAGCATGCAGGGTAACTGCTTATTAAAAATTGATCTCCCAGCTAACCACCACCCAGGCAGTGGGAGAGAATGCTGATGGCCCCCCACACTATCTCACAGGTTGCTTTCCAACCACTATTCTTGCCGCCCACCCCCATGTTACCATGATCCCAAATTCTGGTGTCATTGCTTCCTTGTTTTCTCTTAGAGTTTTTGACCTCTATCTGTGTGGAGTCCCACAATAGGTCTGCTTTCTTGGTTTGCATTTTTAAAATGTATCCTCATTGAATATGGTTTTTCATTCTAGAAGAGTTCCAAAATTCATCTAACTACTATTCACTACCACTCTAATAGTATTTATGATGTCAAACCTGAGTCTCAATGAGGTCATTACATTGTCTAATGTCACTATAGGAAAATAAAAATTAAGATACTTTCATTTAAAAAAATGTGTCCTCATTGTAAGAAATGGAGTTGCACATGCAAAAATGTTCATACAATGTTGTTCGCAGTGGCCCCATCCTGAAAACCACCCAGGCGTGTGCAAACATAGAACTGATGAGGCTCACATGGTGGCATCCTGGACAAGAACGACAATGAATGGACCACAGCCACAGTGTGCATGACATTCTTCCAGAAATGTTGAGATGCATCTACTACAGGTACCTGCAGAATCGGTCCATTTCTGCAGGACCTCTAGAAAATGTGTCTCCACCAGACAGCGTTTCTATCTTCATGAGCAAGAATTATTGCTTTGCTCTCAATCTCCTGCAACTTAGAGTTGTAAACTAGTTCAGACAATGAAAAGGAAAGAGGTATCTCAGTCATTTTTTTTTTAAAGATTTATTTATTTATTTATACAAGCACTGGGTACAGTCAGAAGCATGGGAGGGTGAGAGAATTCACCAGAGCCAGAGCGGGGAGCAGAACAGGCAGACGGATGAAATACACTGCTGAGGGGAGCAGTGGGCACGGCAGGGGAGGTCTGTCGCACCATGTGGGACCCTCCCCGCCAGGTGGGGATCGAACCGGCACTGCAGAGGCTGCAGGCAGCTTCGCAGTCCAGCGCTCAGCCGCTGCGCCATCAGGGGAGGCCCCTCTCAGTCATTTTTTTAAATCTATTTCAAAATCATTGATAATTTTTTCTTGTAGTTCCCTAGTGTGGAAGTTAAGCCTCCCCATGAACCCCTCTTTGCCTTGTGCTGTGGCTCTCCCTGCATCTTTACGGGAGTCTTCCATTCAGACTAAACTGGAATTTCCTGAAAGTGCCCCCAGAACAGGTGAATTGTCCTAACCTCACTATCTTCTCTTCCTTCTGCTTCTACCATATTCTCTCATACCCTCTCTGCCCCAGGAAACCACCGTGTGCTCAGACCCTCAATGCTTTTGACTCCACCCCCTCTGCCCTGCTCACCTCCACGTCTGTCTACCTGTAAGACCCTCCCAGGCTTTAAGACTCAGCTTAACTGGTCCTGACCTTGGGATTCCCATCATTTATATTCTGTCACAAATGATAATAAGAACTTACAGTGGCTGTCTCTTAAATCTTTTTACCGCCACAGAATTGATCGTGGTGGCTAGTGTTGGGGAACTTAATTTAAATTAAAACTTTCTCACCATAGAAAATCTCCACAAAGTATTTTTTATATAATACTTTTATTTTTTAATAAAAATTCAACCACAATGTGCATCATAGGCAATCCACTAAGAGGCTGCAAAGGCAGAAAAAACAACTCACCCTTTTATATGTAGCCAAGCAGACACAGTCCCTTACATGTGAGTTCTTACATTAATCAATGACAAGCTCTCAGAGAGAGGATTTCACCGTCACATAGTTCATCCAGCTTCACCATGGTGATGGGGTCACCACCCAGAGAACTATGGACTGTCTCTTCTCTTTGTGATGGGAGATGGTGCCTCCTCAAGTTGGGCTTCTCCTCTCTCAGAGACCCTGGAAGGCTGGGTGCTGTCGATGTCTGTATTTCAAGGAGGTGGCATCCAGGTTACTGAGAAAGACATTCTTGGGTCACAAAACTGACAGAAGAAAAAAATCACATTTTCAAAAGGATGTAAATCCACTTTTCAAAGTGGGCCTCCCCTGGTGGCGCAGCGGTTGAGCGCTGGGCTGCAAAGCTGCCTGCAGCCTGTGCAGCGCCGGTTAGATCCCCGGCCACGGGCCAGGGTCCCACATGGCGCACAGACCTCTCCTGCTGCGCCTGCTGCTCCCCTCAGCAGTGTATTTCATCAGTCTGCCTGTTCTGTTCCCAGCTCTGGCTCTGGTGAATCCTCTCACCCTCCCGCGCTTCTGACTGTACCCAGTGCTTGTACAAATAAATTAAAAAATAATAATAATAAATCTTTAAAAAAAAAAGTAAAATCTTAAAAAAAAAAAGAGAGGACAACTGGATAAACAATGTGGTGTGTATAGATAGATATAAAAATATGCTTTTTTTAAAAAAATGAGAGGAGAGAGTACTTAGAAGTTTTCTTCAGTAAATGCCCTGAGACAGAAA